CTTTATATAAATTTTGTCAGATATGATTTGCAAATATTTTCTGCCATTCTGTGGGTTCTTTAATAGTAGTTTTCCCGTGTTTGGGTATTAACAAGAGTTTATTACATTTGTATTTTCTAGAGTAACAAGACTTGGGCAGAATGATGAGAAAAGGAATGAAACTTAGGGAAACCTTTTTTGCAAAGGAACTACTTAGAACGAACTCCCCAGATTATTTTAATGTGCCTCCAAGGTTGATAACTACTGTTTTGGGCTGGCCTGTTAGCTCAACTGGTTAGAGTTTAGCCTTGTAATGCTAAGGTCAAAGATTTGGATCCCCAGCCACCAAAAAAGAAAAGAAAAAAAAAGAGCTTAGAAGCCGCCACAAAATATTTTTAAAAAAAGAAAAGAAAAGAAAACTACTGTTCTAGGGAAATATGCTTTTGAATTTTTTAACATATAAGTGGACTGAGTAGATGATGTGGTTTTGGGTCTTTTGTTTTTTTAATCTTTGAATTTTATTGTAAAAAAATGCATAATATAAAGTTTACCATCTTAACCTGTTTTTTTGTTTTCTTTTGTTTTTGATGGCTGACTAGTACAGGGATACGAACCCTTGACCTTGGTGCTACAAGTTGGTGGTGCTCTAACCAACTGAGCTAACTGGCCAGCCCCATCTTAACCATTTTTAAGTGTACATACAGCTCAGTAATGTTAAGTACTTTGTTGTACAGCCAATCTCCAGAATTCTTTGTATCTTGTAAAACTGAAACTCTATATCCATTAAACAACTCCATTTCCCCTTTCTTCTAGTCACTTGCAACCACCATTCTGCTTTCTGTCTACATGAATTTGACTACTCTAGATACCTCATATAAGTGGAATCATACAGTATTTGTCCCTTTATGTCTGGATTATTTCTCTTAGCATAATGTGTCCAAGCCTCATTCATGTTGTCCATGTCCAAATTTCCTACCTTTAAGACTGAGTAAGTAATATTTCATTGTGCTTAGATAGATAGATAGATTTAGTCATAGCCTACATTTTTGTTTGTTCATCTGTCAATGAACTTTTGAGTGTTTCCACCTTTTGGATATTGTGAATAATGCTGATATGAACATTGGTGTGCAAGTATCTGTTTGAGTCCCTGCTTGTGTTCTTTTGGGTATGGACTTGAAATTGGAATTGCTGGATCATATGGCAATTTTATGTTTAATTTTTTTTAGGAACCACTATACTGTTATCCATAGCAGCTGCACCATTTTACATTCCCACTAGCAATGCACATGGTTCAAATTTCTCCACATCCTCGCCAACAATGTTATCTTCTAGTTTTTTGTTTGTTTTTAATAGTAGCTATGGTAATGGGTATAAAGTGGTTTCTCATTGTGGTTTTGATTTGCATTTCCCTAGTGATTAGTAATGAGGTAGTATGTTTTGATATGTAGTTGTTATGTTTTGATATGATATCTTTGCCTCAAGTTTAACTAGGAATATTGAAATGAGGTATTTCTTAACTGGTAGTAATGATAAGTATCTTGGGCAGGTGCAGGTAAAAATATGTTTCTGGTATCAGTCAGTATTGAGGTTAGAGAGTGGTTGGTGGCTGCTCCAGAAGGGGACCTCCCATGTGGAAGGGCCTTGGTGGTATCCTCCACAGTTCAGTTTGGTCCTGCTTTTTATTTCTAGATACTTGAATTTGGTCACCCATAGTTGACCAGACTTTCAATGTGTTGCTCTTTTTATTCAAACTCAAACACTATTGATACATAAAGTACATGCCTTTTACAGAGTGAGTGAGTGTGTATGAGAGAGAGAGAAATTTGTGTGGTTTCCAAAGCTCTCCTTTCTCATTATCAAGGTACTTAGGGTGCTAAATTAGTGATGATAACTTTTTATGGTGAGCCTGGAATTTAAAGAAAAGATAGAAGAGAATGATGTTAGTTGGTATTTTGTCTACACTTTGGAAAGATTTGTTGCATCGTCCTGGCATGGTATTTCTCACTGAAGAGCCACGAGATTTTAAGCCTTGGCTGTGGATGGGCCTCACTGCCAAATTCCAGCCTGCTGGCATTCCCTTAGCATGGGTTCTCTCTTCATCTTTGGAGAGTAAGGTGTTTCCCAAGCATTTCTTCAAGTGCCTTCTTTATGTAGCTAATCTCACTCAACTATTCATTCAAATAATTGAGTACCACTACAGTAGACTCTTGAACAAGCCTCGGGTTAGGGACACTGACCCACAAACAATTGAAAATCCACGTGTATACGTATTTAACTACTAATAGCCTACTGTTAGGTAGACTATCTAATTGTTTGCTCAGGTAGGTTGTGCATTTGTTACATACCTAACCAAAAATTTTCTGATATATTTATTGAAAAATATCTACATATAGGTGGACCCGTGCAGTTCAAACCCATGTTGTTCAAGAGTTTGCTGTATATTCTAGGGCCGGCCTGTGGCTCACGTGGGAGAATGTGGTGCTGATGACACCAAGGCCCATGGGTTCGGATCCCTATGTAGGAATGGCCGGTTAGCTCACTTAGGAGAGCGTGGTGCTGACAACACCAAGTCAAGGGTTAAGATCCCCTTTCCGGTCATCTTTTTTTTTTTTTTTAATGAGTTTGCTGTATATTCTGGACACTTTCCATAGATTTGGGTATACTTTGGTGAACAATACCAGTATAGTCCCTACCTTCCTGGTCACTTTCAAAGTGACTTGTTTCTATTACTTGAGGGGGTTCTCACTCTAGCTCACTTTATAAAATAGACATGAATTTTAAACTTTCTACTTAAGTGGTGTTTGAACCTCTAATGAGTTATTCTTTCTTCCACAGCAATGGTACCAGCATGATATCATTGATCATTCCTCCCAAAGACCAGATTTCACGAGTGGCAAAAATGTTAGCGGATGAGTTTGGAACTGCATCTAACATCAAGTCACGAGTAAACCGCCTTTCAGTCCTGGGAGCCATTACATCTGTCCAACAAAGACTCAAACTTTATAACAAAGGTGATCTGGAGCTTGGTCATTTTCCTTTACTTTGTTTGTCTTGGTTATATTTTCCTCTTAAATCACACAGTGGTGTTTTGTTCACTAATGTTTCCTTCAGCCAACTGTCATCAGTGTCTCTTTGGCCTTGGTGTTTAACTTTTGTTCGTTTGTTTTGTCTTGTTTTTTATTTATTGAAATTTAAGTAGAATTTACTGTACTTAAAGGAATACCTACTGAAACATCTCAGAAGTTTTAAAACTAGGGAGAGAATTCTCCCTGAGAGTTTTAAGGATATTTCTGCTTTATGTAAATTATGATTTAAAGGGTCAGGGACAAGAGTCTGTGGGGAACATTTTCTATTAATTAAGGAAAATTAGCTGTGGATTAAAGTAGAGAAATTGTTTGTGTTCTTTGCAGTACCTCCAAATGGTCTGGTTGTTTATTGTGGAACAATTGTAACAGAAGAAGGAAAGGAAAAGAAAGTCAACATTGACTTTGAACCTTTCAAACCAATTAATACATCATTGTATTTGTGTGACAACAAATTCCATACAGAGGTAAGAAGTGTGAGCACAGAACATTTTCTTCACTCAAGAAAGAAACCCCATACCAGTTAGTAATCATTATTTATTCCCCACCCTAGTCAATCACTAATCTATTTTTCATCTCTAGATTTGCTTATGCTGGACATTTTATACATAAAATCATATAATTTGTGGCCTTTTGTGACTAGCTTCTTTCAATTGGTTTATGGTTTATCCATGTGGTAGCATGTATCAGTACTTCATCTCTTTTTATTACTAAATAATATTCCCTGGTATGGATATGCCACATTTTATATATTCATCAGTTGATGAACATTTGGTTTGTTTTCACTGTTTGGCCATTGTGAATAATGCTGCTATGGAATTCATGTACATATACTTAGGATTAGCAACATAGGAAGAAAAAGAAATTCATGTACAAATTTTTGTGTGTGACCATATGTTTTCATTTTTCATGGGTATATATCTTGGGGTAGAATTGCCAAGTCATATAGTAACCATGTTTAACCTGAGAAGTTGCCAGACAGTTTTCCAAACAATTGTAACATTTTACATTGCCAGCTATTTACAAAAAGTAAAAGAACATATATTTATTATGACTCTAGTCATTCAGCATGTTTGAGGAATGTCCTAAACTGGTTTTGGAGAACTAATTAGAGGCAAAGAAATAATTGACTATTTGATCTCCCATCTCTCCCTATGTACCAGTGATACTTGCTTATATTCCTTGCATCCTTAGTTTTCAGTTCACAAATTATAAAATTTTTAGTAGGACTATAAGAGTGTTTCTCTCCCTATGTACCAGTGATACTTGCTTATATTCCTTGCATCCTTAGTTTTCAGTTCACAGATTATAAAATTTTTAGTAGGACTATAAGAGTGTTTCTCTCTCTCTCTCTCTCTCCCTCTCCATGAAACTTTTGAGTGACAGAGCTGCCATAAGATGAACTTTAATGGTGGAAAGGAAACCTCATTAGAGTGACCTAAATCAGTCAACAGTAGAACAATCAAGAATTCACAGCTGGCTCCTAGTTCAGTCTCTTGCCTTTCATCGACCTAGGGAAAACCTCCACAGTGGAATTAGAACTGACATTTGTCGACACAGTTTACAATGGATGATTTTTGCTAACTTGACGGGAAGTCCAATTCCAGTTGGATCTTGGTCGACTGCGTAAACAATCCAGACTGTTTTTCTCTTAGTTACCACAGTCTCCTTCTGTAGGGTGGGGAGGCTCTTAGCCACGTCCCACTTATCTGTATCTGGTTTGATAAAAACAGATTTTAAATCTTGTTGATTTAAACAATACTTGGTACCCGTGCTATCTGGCTTTAGCTCACTTGTTAGCCTTAATTGGTTTTTCTAAACCTTAACTCCTCTTTGAAAGTAGTGTTTTGTCATGCTACCTTTGTGTATTTTGGCTTTAACTGATATGTCAATAACTAGAAATGAATGTAGTATACTTACAACACAGTTTATGTCCTGTTTAATCAGGGTAATTATGCATTCTTATAAGGATAAGTCTACTCCCTGTTAACAGACTTGCAGTTAATCAAGCTACCTAATAGAGATCATTATGATAAGGTTACATTTTTAACATGTGCATTATTTATGTCTTAATGCTAATTATTAAGTATGGTTTCATTAAAGATGGATTCTTGGTTGGTTAATCTGCTGTCTAGTAAATTATTGAAGGAACTATGTTCTTCCTTAGTTAAAATGGAATAAGTAATAATTTCTTAGTTCTCAAGAGATTGCCACCTGGCAGTTAGTGATCTCTCAGGCTCATAGTATTCAAACTCCATCATGAAAACTCATATGTGGGTCCCAGGACTATTTAAATAATTTGTCTTTTGGGAGGCAGAAATAATGGGGGTATAATGCTAACCCAAAAGGAGGGTTTTCCCCATAAAACTCAGAATCATTAGCTATAATACTTTAAAACTGAGTTTGAGTTTTATATCCAGATATTAATGATGCTGAAGACATGGGAGTTAAATGAAGCATTTTGAAACTAGATCTTTTTATAGACTGTTTCTGGGTTTTGTACTCCTGTGCTCCTACTCAAGTTGATTTACATGATATTCTCATTTGTCATGATGGATACTACCTATTAATGCTAGGATTATTAATGGTAACAGAAAGTCAATTTTTGGAAGTTAGAGCCTTAATTTGAATGTTATGCTCCATAGACTACCATCAGTTTAAATCAAATTAAAAACTAAGAAGAGGGGAGCTGGCCAGTTAGCTCAAGTTGGTTAGTGTTATAACACCAAGGTCAAGGGTTCGGATTCCCTAACTGGCCAGCTGTCAAAAAAAAGAAAAAGAAAAATAATTAGGAAGAAGTTGAGCCCTATGACTATATTGAGTTTTGAGGGGAAGGGGGTAGGTTGGGTTGTTTGTTAATTTTTTTATTGTAGTAAAATACACATAACATAAAACTTAACTATTTTTAAGTGTACCGTTTAGTGACATTTATAATATTGTGCAGCCATCACCATCGTCAATCTCCAAAGTTCTTTTCATCTCGTAAAACTGAAACTCTATACCCATTAAATACTAATTCTTCATTCCCCCTTTCCTCCAGCTGCCAGTAACCACTATTCTTTCCATCTCTATGATTTTGACTGCTTTAAATACCTCATATAAATGGAATCCTACAGTATTTCTTTTTGTGATTGGCTTATTTCACTTAGCATAAAATCCCTGGGGTTCATACATGTTGTAGCATATTGCAGAATTTCCTGTCTTTTTAAGGCTGAGTAATATTCCATTGGTATGTATATACCACAGTTTATTTGTCCATTCATCCATCAGTGGACACTTGGGTTACATCTAAGTTGTCTAGGTTTCTAAGATGAAAATATTGTGAATAATGCTGCTATAAAAAAATATAAATATCTAGGGCTGGCCCATGGCTCTCTCGGGAGAGTGTGGTGCGGATATCACCAAGGCCACGGGTTTGGATCCCATATAGGGATGGCCGGTTAGCTCATTGGGTGAGTGTGGTGCTGACAACACCAAGTCAAGGGTTAAGATCCCCTTACCCGTCATCTTTTAGAAAATATATTTATTTATATATATATATATATATAGGTTTTGGATTCACATGCCCAAGTCAGGTATGTTGAAGGGCTTTACATAGATATCACTGGTTATTTCTGCATTAGGTTCAAATTTGTCCATAAGAGTTACATATTTATAGCTGAAGTCTGTAAATTATTCCATAAAATGATTTTCCACAATACTCAAGATAAGATGATAAGTGGGGTGAAAGCTTTGTATATGTCCTTCTGGGTTTTGTCTTGACTGGCAAAACTTTGGGGTTTATTGTATGGTGCTTGTGTTTGCTTTTCAGGCTCTTACAGCACTACTTTCAGATGATAGCAAGTTTGGTTTCATTGTAATAGATGGCAGTGGTGCACTTTTTGGCACGCTCCAAGGAAACACAAGAGAAGTCCTGCACAAATTCACTGTGGATCTCCCAAAGAAACATGGTAATATAGGAGAATATGAACCCATGTACTTTGTGCATAGCAATCAGGAAACAAATAGTATGATTCGGGGAAAAGTAAGTCCAGATGATAGGGAGAGAAGCATCCTAGAATAATTCGTGCCTCATTGGTGCTTATGGCTCTTCTCTTGACATCAGAATTAGTAGTCACTCTCTGAAAATGAGTAGCAGTTAAGGGAATGGTGATTTTTCTCTTTGTCTTTTTCTTAGATAATGGCATGATTGATTATTTTATTACTTTTGAATTCACAAGGCTTCTTGTGCTTCTTAATAATTGCCTTTTTCTCTCACCACTTTTGCATCAAAGGTAGAGGAGGTCAGTCAGCCTTGCGCTTTGCCCGTTTAAGAATGGAAAAGCGACATAACTATGTTCGAAAAGTAGCAGAGACTGCAGTGCAGCTGTTTATTTCTGGAGACAAAGTGAATGTGGCTGGTCTCGTTTTAGCTGGATCAGCTGACTTTAAAACAGAACTAAGTCAATCTGATATGTTTGATCAGGTAAGTGAGAAGTCGGTGCTCCATTATATGAGTCTGTAGGTGGGAGTAGGCAAGTCCTCTGTATGAGCACTGGGACACACACTTCTTTTTTAATCTACATTGATAGATTCCCTGGGTTAAAAACCCAGCTCTGAGTTATACAGGTATTTATTGGGAAACATTCCCCCATACTTTTCTGGGCCCTTTCTCTTTGAAATCAGCTATTTTTGGGTGGAATCCTAGGTTCTGTGGAGGTCTCTGGTTTAGTGGGTTGCCATAATTGGCTTTAAGATGAAGTTTGATTTCAGAGAAACTAGAAGCTGTTTTTTACTATCTTTTTCTGATTTATTCCTGGAGGTAAGTAAAGCAGTGAAACTTAGCAATATGACAAAGCTGATTAAGCCTAAAGCATTTAATCCAGGAGTATCTTTTGGTTTGTGACATGGGCTCAGCTGTGACACATTCCCAAGGTATTCTTCTGGAGGAGGTAGCATTATGGTAGAAGGTTCACCAGAGAAACTGTCTTGTACTCTCTCACATTATTTGGCCGAAGCCAAATGCTTCCCACTTTTCTTCACAAGAAATTTATTCTTTGCGTGTAATGAGTTACGCTATAGTAGGTTTAATAGAATGTGTGATATGATTGGCTGAGAAAATTTATCCTGGCAGCCTTGCTCACTGTGAGAGCAGCTGTTGAACAAATTGGGCTCCTTCACCATATTTAGACTTCAGTGATCATAATGCTGAACTTCACATACCATTAAGAGATAGCAGGTCTTGGTAAAGATGTTTTGAGGTACTAATGATTTTTTTTTTTAATTGTATCAGAGGTTGCAATCAAAAGTTTTAAAATTAGTTGATATATCCTATGGGGGTGAAAACGGATTCAACCAAGCTATTGAGTTATCTACTGAAGTACTCTCCAACGTGAAATTCATTCAAGAGAAGAAATTAATAGGTATCAATGAAATACAACTACTTTATTCTGTGAAATGTGTTTTTGTGTGTGCGTGTGTATGTGTGTATGTATGTACATGATTGTATGTATGAAACAAGATACTAAAAAGATAAAAGAGAGGAAGATTTAACAATTTTATTAAAATCTTCTGCCTCAATGGAATCATTATCTTTAATCTTTTTTAGTCATTAGGTCTAATAAGTATGTTTGTATCTACATGGGACACTTAATACATGTCCTGTTGACCTATTCCTAATCACAGGACGTTACTTCGATGAAATCAGCCAGGACACGGGCAAGTACTGTTTTGGTGTTGAAGATACACTAAAGGCTTTGGAAATGGGAGCTGTAGAGATTCTAATAGTCTATGAAAATCTGGATATAATGAGATACGTTCTTCATTGCCAAGGCACAGAAGGTATGAGAATTAGAAAATAAGGTTGCTGTTTGTTATTGACCTGTGTATTCAGGAAGCCTGGGGTGGAGATTTAGGAGGAATGGCTAATTTCAGGTGCAATCAGAAGGCAGATCTGCCCCTTGTTCCCTGCTCTTTTGGTCTGTAGCACATACTTACATATATTTTTCTGCTTGAACTGTTTAATGTCTGCTTAAGATTGTTAAATTTGTTGAGAATCAGGACTATATCTTGAATGTCTTTGATGTTTTCTTATGGTAAACATTGTGCCTGGTAGACACATAAGTTAGTATGCTGACTAACTTGCTTATAGAAAGAAGGTTGATAGAATGAGTCATGAGAGCCAGGTTAACACATTTTTTCCTCCTAATACTACAGAGGAGAAAATTCTATATCTAACTCCAGAACAAGAGAAGGATAAATCTCATTTCACAGACAAAGAGGTATGTGATTGTTTTCTTGGCTTGGTGATACATGCAAGGAAGCATACATCCATGTGTTAGAGCACTGGCAACATAGCGACAACCTTAGGAAACCAAACCTCATACTTGTTGAGAGAAGGCAGTGAGATGTGGTTAGCTTCTATCTGCCACATACCTCTCTGATTCCAAGGAAGGAGGCTAAGTCATGGTTACTGTGGCCTCTTATTTTTCTGAAGTAGTTAAACAATCAGGAAAATATTCTCATTACCCTTGAAATAACAGAAAGGAAGATTCAATTTGAATAGTCTCTCCTGCACTGTGAAACCTGTGGTGCTTTCTTCACTTTATCAGCTTTTCCACTGCAGTGGCTTCTCTAGGTTTTGTCTAAATGCATTACTGTAGTTTGAAGTGCCACCTTCCATCTTATATGAGATAGCTCTACGCGGTAGCTTCCTAAAATTCTGAGTTGGAGGACTTTTTTTTTTTTTTTACAGAGCCTCTCCCAAAAGCATTTCTGGTATGTCTCTTCTGGGCTGTTGAATGAGTGCTATCTAGAAGCACTACAGCAGCCTGACTTCTAGAGTCAACAGCAGGAATCATAAGTTGAAAAACCACTGAGTATGTGCTGACAGTTCATTACTGAGGCTAAAGCCTGAGGAGAAATGTTTGACATAATCAGAATTTCTCTACTGTTTCAATGATGTTACCAGAAACCAGATTTCAGTTAAAGAGTTTTACTCACAGATACACATACATACATATATATATCAGTTCATTACTGAGGCTAAAGCCTGAGGAGAAATGTTTGACATAATCAGAATTTCTCTACTTTTTCAATGATGTTACCAGAAACCAGATTTCAGTTAAAGAGTTTTACTCACAGATACACATACATATATATATATATATATATATATATACACGCACACAGTGGGAGAATGAGAGTGATGGTGGTGGGAGGTGAGAGGGGCTAAGCCTTTGATATTTCCTAATCCCAGTGCTTTTGTATCTTCTGGTTATCTCTATAGACAGGACAGGAACATGAGCTGATTGAGAGCATGCCCCTGTTGGAATGGTTTGCTAATAACTACAAAAAATTTGGAGCTACATTGGAAATTGTCACAGATAAGTCACAGGAAGGATCCCAGTTTGTGAAAGGATTTGGTGGTATTGGAGGTGAGTAGTAAATCAGCAAACTGAACTTCAAACCAGGGTTTCAGGCCAAGGCCTTTCCTGGCTACCCCAAAATAAGTTACTTCAGGTGAGGTGTGCTTATTATCTACTGAGGCAGGTGGTTGGGGCAGCAGGTAGCCGCAGTTTCCTTTGTACCAATTTTTACAGTTACCTCTTTGCTCTCTATAATTCTGCAAGAGAATTGGGCTTCCCTTGTTAGAGTGATGCCTCTCCATTCCGTGAACACAAGTAATTTGCCCTTTGGTTTGTTTCCCCAGGTATCTTGCGGTACCGAGTAGATTTCCAGGGAATGGAATACCAAGGAGGAGACGATGAATTTTTTGATCTTGATGACTACTAGGTAGTCGACATGGGTCTGGCAAAATGTGCCTCACCCTCCAGCATCCAACCCAAGGAGCATACCCGTGGTGGAATCCAAACAGATCCCTGCCTTACAATTGGAATGTTTCCAGAACTTAATCCATGAGCATTGGATATCGAAAAGAAAACCGAAACAAAACCAGACCCAGCCCTACACTTTGGTTTGTCATGGTATCAGCGCAGCAGCCTACAACTAAGTTCCTAAATGCCACTTTGGACTTATTTAAAAAAGAATCCCAGTTTTTACTTTTACTCGATGGTGAAATTGGTTGCTCTTGTATTTTATGGGGAAAAAATGATTTTTTTAACCTTCATACATAGAAGCAAAAGTACTTTAACTGCTGTAAACCTTCAAAACTTAATAGAAGTGAGATCATACTGGTTTGTTTCTTATTTTGATTGGAGAAAAATTAAATTGCTGCATTTTGCAGTGACCCATTTACATGGCATTTTCAGCGTAGACTGCATAAGAAATATATGTGGTGAAATGTTGGAGCCATTTCTCTCTCGGTCTCTGTTTAATGTTGAAAGGGTGAGCTAATAGGAGGCAATTTCAACTTCACTCCCTCACACAACCCCTCCCCCTCCAGACTGTCAGTTTCAAGGATGCAAACTGCATTTCAAAGTCAAACTGACTCATGAAGCAGTTGGGCCAGTGCACTGTTCAATTCCATCTGTTTGACAGACGCATTTGTGCCCAGCATTTGGGAGCCCTTTATATCAATTGCTTCGACAAGGGTCCCCATAGTCAGCCTACTAGAAACCAGTTTAGATCCATCTGTTTGACAGACGCATTTGTGCCCAGCATTTGGGAGCCCTTTATATCAATTGCTTCAACAAGGGTCCCCATAGTCAGCCTACTAGAAACCAGTTTAGAGTGGATATGATGGGGCTTCTGTGCTATTGCTGGGATTGGGAGAAATAAAACATGCAATTTAAGTGGACACAAATTTAAAGATTATTTTATTTTATTTTGCTTGGGTCTATCTTTGGTAAAAGGGAGGTGGTTGTGTTTTCCTTGTGTTGGATGGCATGAGATTATGTGAATGTTTTGATTTTAAAAAATGAACTGCAAGGTTTTTCACAGGAACGATGGACAAGACATGTATGACTGTGCATGTAATTATAAACCCCTGACCTCCTGGTGGGGTTGGAGCATCTGTTTCAAATGTGGGACTTACAAGCACCTCTCATGTGAGAAATTATGGGAGGAGGGTGGGAAGGGCAGGGGCGGGAAGGGATGGGACACAGCTTCTGGCACTGTGGACTTAACCATGTTAGATCAAAAAGTTGGCCTAAAACCTGAAGCTTATGCTTCATGGCTGGACTGTAAGTTGGACTTGAACCCAGCTGACATGCAAGGTCATGGCGTGCCTGAGGGGTGACAGTGAACAAAGTGTATAGGATGTGCCCAGTGGTAGCAATGGAAAAAAGTATACCAAATGGACTTTGAAGGACCAAAGGTTTTAAAAGTCAATTGGTATCACCCTCACACTGACTAAGGTAGTGGGGTGCATTTGGTTTTCAAATTGGGTACTTTTAACACTTTAGTGCCTGACTGCTGTTCTTCACTGACTTGACTCAGTCACTTGTAGCTTTATTGGTCTGAACCAGCTCCTTGTTCCCCGGTTCCAGACCTGCCTATCGTTCCAATAATCCTGTTTCACTTGAATGAAGGGAGTATGTCTTAAATGTAAAGCTTCTGGTTCCACACTGTACTCTGAGGTCCAAATGACTGTCTATGAATAACCTGATGTCTCAACCCCCAGTAAGAAGAGTCGATTCTTTGGTGTTCACCAACGTGGGAGGCGTCACCAGAACAGGATTTCTGCTTTGGGCTCTGCTCTTTGTTTGCAGAACACCCAAGAATGAGCAAACGTGCTCTCTTCACAGCAGTACCTTAGGGTTTTGCCATTGTAAATGGGTCTGATGTGATATGACAAGACCAGAGAAATTGGATGTAAATTTACATTTTTGAAAATGCTTGTTGTTTCACATGATACATTTAGGGTATGCAGCTCCTTTTGTAGTTTTTATTTTTACTATTTAAGTTTGGAAATGATGCCAAATTTTTGTATTTCTTTAATCAATGTGTTCTCTTGGGTGATATATATTGAATTATATATTGATGTGTGTATCAATATATACTGATATGTATTACACTTACACATACAAACACATAAATAAGAGGGGGTGAAAACCGTAGCCTTTGCATTCTCTATAGCCTCTTCAGAGAGATCCTAAGCAGCAAAATCTTGGTGTTGTGATGTACAGAAATGGAGAAGAGTATTAAACCATATTTAAGAATATACTTTGTGTGCTTGAGATTTTTTAGGAGTGTTCCTAGAAAGGTCTGAACTATGGAAACTGTGAGTGAGCTATCTGAGGCATACGTCAGATTAGTCATGGCTAATAACTTTTCAGCCTTCGATTTGAGTTTTCACTGAATTTGCCTGTAGAAGGGTATATGCAAACGATGTCTGATGTCATGATCCCAAAGTTATTCTAGAGGAAGGAGGTTCAAATTGCTGGAGCCAAACTAATTCGTATCTTCCCCAATTTAACATGCACTTCAAAGAGAAACTTGCCTTTTTTTTTTTTAAGGTATTTCAAGTGTGTTATCCCGTAATTCAACATCCCATGGAGGTATATGGTATACCCATTTTACAGGTGATGAAACAAATGAGGTTAAGTTGGGCCGGCCCATGGCTCACTTGGGAGAATGTGGTGCTGATAACATGAAGGCCACGAGTTTGGATCCCTATATAGGGATGGCCAGTTAGCTCACTTGGGAAAGTGTGGTTTTGACAACACCATCAAGGGTCATCTTTTTTTTTTTTTTGTCCTTTTTGAGACCGGCCGCACCGGGCTCGGCCCAGGGGTCATCTTTTTTAAAAAGGTTAAGTAGCAGCTATTTAGGGATGAAACCAAAATTTTATCCCAGGCCTAATTCCAAAGTTGATTCTGTTTCTACACCTGTTTGCTTTTGAGTCCTATAATAGAATGGTCCAGATGAAAGAGGAGAACCTAGGCCTAGGCCCTTTCCCTCCCACTCTGCCTCATCTTGCATACCTTGCACTAGGCGGGAGAATAATAGCCCCATCCAAGACAAGAGCAGAAAAGGGTTTGTTTCATTTGCTTTCCCC